TCGTGACCAAGAGAAGGGGTCTCTTCCAATCCGATGCAGCTCTTCTTGATGACAGCGAGACAAAAGCTTACGTTCAAAGTCATGCTGCCGCCGTCGGAAAATCTAGTTTCTTTAAGGATTTCGGTGTTTCCATGGTGAACATGGGTAGGATTGGAGTTCTCACTGGTAACGCAGGGGAAATCAGGAAAGTTTGCAGCAAGATTAACTAAGGTTTTATTAATTTGAACACCAAGTAAGCAGATGAAACGATGTATATCTGCCTCCATATATATGTATTTGTGCCAGTGTATTAGTTATTCTTGATTATTTTCTTTCTCAAATAAATGTCTAGTTAAGATTTGGTATTGGTGGTGTGAACTTCTCCGGATCCAGACGGCCATTATAAAAAAATGCATAGATAACGTGTCAGTTCCTTTTTTTCTGGTGATAACGGACATCGGCACGTTTGCCATTGATCTCCGGACCACAGCAAGACCAATATATACAAAGATACCTAAAAAACAAAAAATGAATAAAGTACAAATAAACATTGGATCACCAGCTCACAAGATTCCTTAGAGTTCGTATCTATACTTTTCACAATCCGTAGGAAACCTTTATGCTTTCTTCGGATACAAGTCTTCGTATGTAATACGGTGATGTATGATACATTATTTGTACGTACATTTCATAAACCAATTGATACAATACATACAACAATGTCCGTTATATTCTTTTCTTTCTCCCTCCTAAAAGACCCAAAATGCTTTAACATCCCTTCACTCTTCCCCGCCACCTTCTTCACTACATAAACATTAACACACCCCTCCCTCTATCCTATTCATCAAATCGTCCCCCAAACTTCCCTGCCAAAAATGTACAACTCCCCCGACCGGTTGCCGATCCAGTACCCCACCCCGGAGCCCCAACGCCTGAAGCGTCAGCACACCCCCCGGTACTACGCCCACCGGGTCCGTGAAAGCCTCACCACCCGGGTCTCCAAGCTTTTCTGCACCATCTTCTTGGGCCTCCTCCTCATTCTTGGCCTGATAGCGTTCATACTATGGCTTAGTCTACGTCCACACCGCCCAAGATTTCATATCCATGCATTTACGGTTCCGGGTTTGAACCAAGAAACCGGGTTTCAAAATGCTGAGATCACATTCAATGCCACGGCCCGTAACGCCAACCATGATATTGGTATATACTATGATTCAATGGACGGGTCGGTTTATTATAAGGACCAGCGGATTGGGTCAATCTCCGGGTTACTGCCCCCGTTTTATCAAGGGCCTAAAAACACGACGATTGTGGCTGGGTCGTTTACTGGGGCCACCTTAACGGTGAATAGCCAGCGTTGGATGGAGTTCATCAATGATCGTTCGAGAGGAACGGTCGTGTTTCGACTTGAATTTTCGGCTACGATTAGGTTTAGGATTCAGTCGTGGGATAGTAAGCGCCATCGGATGCACGCCAACTGTGATGTCGATGTGGGCCAGGATGGCTTGATCTTGCCCGTTTCTAAAGATAGGAGATGCCCTGTCTATTTCACCTGAATTTGGAGAATTATTATTATTATTATTTTTAATTTTTTAAGTTTTGCATTTTAACTTGTGTTTTTATTTCGTATGCTTTTGGGGGTTATATCGGGTTTGGGTTTGCTGTGATTTACTTGATTTGTTGTATAATATTTCTAAATTGAATGGTTCAAAATTATTTATTTTTTTTGTTTTTATACAAGCGTTAGTTTAATATATGACTCACAGTCATGTCCAACTGACCTAAATAGCGTCTCCACCTGCATCATTTAGGCATTTAAAAATATAGCATTCCTCTTTCTTTTTAACTTTTTCTTCCATATATGCTTTCCATGTTTCGTCGGATGTAAATGGAAAGAACACTTCTCCTTTTGATGTTAATCTTTTGGACAGAAAAAAGTTACAAATTCTTGAGCTTCTTTTGCCAAATCATGGTCTGCATAGTCCTACAGTAGTGTTCAAACCAAGTCGTGATGAAGTTTCTACAAATGGTGATTGCGTGGGGTCGACTGGTTTTGGGTTGTGAAGTTCTGATGAATGAATGCTAACCATTAGATTTGTCGTCCACATACTATCTTAGCACAGTAGCACTACAGGCTTAACGAAAAGCTCATTCCATATTCATGATCAAATCCAATTCGGGTGATGCTTATTAATTGGGTTGCGCCAAATGATCATGTCAGTCTTTCTTTATACATGTGGGATAAATGAGGGGAAATCAAGATAGTAATTTTAGACATTAAATCATAATCACAATTAAATCGAATTCAGATGATGTTTTGCACTGCATGATCGTGCCATTCTTTCTTTATATACCTGAAAAACCCTCACATTCTATCGTTTTATTTTCGGCTTCTCGGGTGGAAAGTGGAATTAACCTAGGTTTCCAAGGATCAACTCGTTGGCAATCAAATGTATGAAAATTTCACGAACTTAAGCCTACTGCTTTAGTTTCCCACTTATTACTTTCTGCTCCAACAGCAAAGGCTGAAACCCCCATTGAACTCACTCTAGGAGGAAAAAAAAAAAAAAAAAAAA